CCAGAAGTAAGGGACCTTCCAGTGATATTGCCATCTCAAAACCAGCCTGATGTTTAGGTCTTTAAAAAAAAAAAAAAAAAAAAAAAAGCTTTCGTGGTACCTAGGACTACTAAGAAGGTTTCCATATATATATATTTTTAATTCAATGGAAATAAAAATTCCTCTACAGAATTTGCCTTCCGAACATTGCAACAGTGAGAGCCTAAAAATAAAATGTACTAGAAATAAAGCGTAACTGATTTCTCAGCATAAAGGTAAATAGTCAAAAAATTGATGTTTAATATATAAATAAACCCTTTGTAATTATAAATGTGGAAGGCATAAATATACTTAAACTATGTATCTGTTTAGACACATTTGTCTAGTATCTGCTCACCATTTTATGTATTAGTTTTACTGACATTTTCATGGGCTGGAACCTCTTGAAAATATGTGGCTAGTTGTAGCTTATCACTATTGAGAACAGATTTGCTGCCAGCAGGTGGTATTCTTCAAGAGGTTCAAGACAAGTTGCAAAATTATCAACCTAAAATGCCCACAACTATTGTTACCTTTAAAATAATGTCTTAGTTATAGGCTTATCTTACAATGTAGATGGAAATAATCTGAAAGGTAAATAGACAAAGAGAAATAGTTAACCAAGTCTTTTTACAGTGCTATTAAACTCAAATCTTGTAGTTAATTTTAGAAACAAGAATGTGACAATAGTAACACACTGTCTAAAAATGGCAAAACTCAGTGATTATAATCAAAAAGTAATTATATAGCGCAGTCAAAAGAGACAGTCCAATGCATCTCAGAGATCAGTTACAACCAAAATCTGTGAATAGCAGCAGTAGGCTTGTATGATTGTCACGCAAAGCATTACTGAATTACTATTCACTTCGATTAACTTTCAGTGACCGTGTCTATAGGCTGCTTGGTTAATGGTTTTCTGTCAATACTGTAAAAATGCTAACCTGTCTTTACATCTAATCAATTTTGCAAGGCTCTTTGCATAAATGGTCTATTCCTATTCTTCATTAAAAAAAGCAATCAAATAGGATTGAATTGAACAAGCAGTTGTAAAAAAAACAAACAAACAAAAAACCCATTAATTAATTCTGAGACTGTGCAGTTTGAGGTAGTTGTCCTTGAGTATTTTCTTCATCACCATGTTTTAAAGGGCATTGAAAATCAATGTTTTACTTTACTATCATCCATCTTTATACAGTAATAAATTAAGTGGAAAGTATTGATATTTTTGACTGAGCTTTTAAAATTTACATACTAATGACAATTGTACCCTTGTGACTTTTGATGTCTGTTGCTGTTTACTGCTAGTGACTAGAAGGAAATTTCAGTCATCTGGGGACCATTCTTTTTCTCCAAAAGAAAATTGTGACATTTCTCTGTTAAATACTATGCTTAAGATCTTAGCCATGCAATCTCCTCTTGGACTTCTGTTTTAAAAGCAACTAATGAAAGGAAAAGTTTGAAATGCTTGCCATCTTCCTCTCTATAAATTCAGGCTAGAATGATGTACATCGCAAACAAGCTAATGGAAGTGTGAGAAAGTAAATGTATGTAGTGGGTAGCTGCAAATAAAAATGCTGTTGACACATTAGTCTTGTGCCTTAGCGTGTCCAGAGAAATGCAGCTAGCCTTAGGATGAACAAAATGTTCTGTTGCATATTTGAGGCAGAAATGAAAATGGAGCTGTGACAGTCAATCCAATCTTATCCATTCTGACTATTTTTTTTTCCTGTGTATTCTAGTCTCAGAAGCAATGCCTGGGATATATGATAGCTAAAAAAACCCTTAAATCCATTGGATAAAAGAGGAAGCTTTCATGGGCTTTATGATCCTTTTAAACTTTATTATTTAGCATACAGCACACTATAGTAGCAGAAAATAAGTAATTTTAGAGATGAAAAAATTATCCATGGATATTAGTTTAAAAGGAAAGGTCACCAGATTACTTTGATAGTATTTACAATGTCTTCATTCACTTTCTGCAAAATCTTTCTGCAAAGTTAGTATGAGTAACTTTTTGTGCACAAGAAAAGTTGTGAGTACTCTTGTGATTGTTTGTTTTTCCATATGTATGTGTGCCAAAAGTATATGGTCATCTTAATAGTTTTTTGTTGGTTTGGGAGTCAGCCAGCCAGAGATTAATAAAAAACAGCATGAGAATACCATGTGACTTCGGTAACCAATAGGACAGCACAAATAGCTAAACATACACAGAGTGAATACTCAAAGTAATAGTTATGGCAAATAATTTGCCGGGAACTCATAGAATGCAATATGCTGACCGAAGCCATTTGCTGAGTAATTCTAAACAGCAAATAGAGTCATAAGATCAATGTATGCCGTTAATTTACAAACAGGAAAAGGGGTTACATTAGTTGAATAAATTGCTCACTTAAAATAGGTCAGTGAGCTCTGCAACATGATTTCTATGATATTTCTCCCCCTACCATATGCTTTGTTTAGGAAGGCAAGTTCTATTTGGCTTATTTTCCTTCTGTCTCTTTACTAATGCACTTAGTGTCTGTGCTTTGGTTTACTGATGTCCATCTTGGGGTTAGTCCATCTTCTGTCTGTAAACTACTAAATGGGATGGCTAAACTGGACTGTATGCCATGGAGCAAGGCTATGTGCTTTTTTCCATGTGTATGTTGGCATGTGTGTTTTTGTGGGGTTTTTAATTACCGTGATACAGATTTATTAAGCTTTTAAACTTTCTCTAAGACCCTGGTTTTGTGGGGCATAGTACCTTACTGCATAGTCTCACTGAAATCAGAGATTGGTCCTGTGAGTAAGGAGCTCATCCTCTTGCTTTAAGGATTAATGGTCCAAAACCCATTGGAGTCAATGGAAAGAATTCTATTTACTTCAACAGGAGCTGGCTCACACTCTAGTTTCTGCCACCTTCTCCACAACCACCAAAGCATCAGAAACTCTGCTTATCACAAAGCCCAGCTCTCTGGGGATTCCCTATCCTGAACAGTTGACATGGGTGGATTGAGGAAGAAGATAATGACAGTGGGGTCTGCTCTTTTTTTACTCCTCTAACCGACCTGGAACCCTCCATAGTGCTGCAGTCTCCGGGCAATAGAGCAATCCCCATGACTTCCCACATAGCCTATGAAAGAAATCTTTTCTCCCTCCACCCCCACTCTTCCTTTGCACTGACCCAGCTATCCCTGCTTGAAGAATAGGCTTAGTCCCGAGTATATAAGCCTATAAAACACTAGGCCCAATTCTGCAACCTTCATGCATGTTGAGTAGCACACACCAATTACAATGGGACTGCTTGAATAAGTACTACTCATGGTGAAAAAGGTCTGCAGAACTAGGCCCACAGTAAATAGCACTGTATTCATTCCAGCTTTTCAAAACAATTTCCTCTGAGCAACCAGTGTTTTGGTTACAAAGGCTAATTTGCAAGATAATATTAGCTGTCTGTAATATGTTTAATTCTAGTTTGGATTCCACAGGATAAAGACACCACTGCATAGATGTACTTCCCCCTCTGGAACTTGAAAGGGTGCTAGAAAAGACAAACACAATAGAAATTGCATATCAAGGTACAGGCAAACCGTATGTTAGCTGCAGCTCTCCCGAGGGCAAGGTGCTAAGTTTTGTTTACATTTTGCCAAGACAGCAATAAATTGCTTGTTTACAGATGACAAAGTGTGTGTGTGGGGGGGACGAGGGAGAGGCTATGCACACAGATGCAGACAATGAACAGACACACGCGTACCCAGAGCTAAGTAAAATTAGTTGTTTTGTTCTGTGGTGTGTGTGTGTGGTTTTTTTTTTTTTTTTTTGGCGTACCAATCCTAGAGATCATTATGCAGGATTATAAAAATGTTAGGGCTGATGAAAGTTTGCCTTCTTCAATTTCAAGCAGAATGGCGATTGCTCTATTAGATCAAACTGACCAGGATGTGCCTTGAAGCACTGTCTCCGTGGAAAGGACAGAAAATATGAGAGGTGTGGAGAAGGACTCACTTTCATCAAAGTATCTGTTTCCAGGATAGTTTGGGAGCCCACAGCATTATTGTATTACACGTTGCACAGAAGTGTGCCTTGTTCCTTTTTTTTTATAGTGTTTTAGAAAGAAAAGACTTTTTTTCTTCCAAATTGCGCTGGGAGGCAAATTCTTCAACAGTGTAATAGAAAATGTTAGACAATATTCCTTACTGGAGCTATTGACATTTTTGATAGTCGTGACACTTTGATTTTTCTCAAAACATATGGATCAAGCCGCAGTGTATTATTGGACAGGAAGACCTGATGAAAGGCTTTCTTTTATCTTGCTTTGTATTTTTTCCCCTCCTGTTTGTTCATGGCTTTTTCTCTGAATATAATCGTGGTTTTCTTATGCTGCCCAGGGAGTCGTTATTGCCTTAGTAAATATTTTATAGTGCACAGTGCGCCATATCTGCCAACTGGTTATTATTTTGTTATAAAAAGTAGTGGGCTAGCTCATGAAAAGAGTTGTTTTTAAAAATTACAAAACTACAAACTGAATAAATTTAAACACTTAAATGAGATGTGAGGTTGTTTTTTTAATATGGTTGGAATGGGTCTGTTTAGGGTTTATTTTTTTTTTTTTTTTTTTGGTATGTGTTTCTCTCTATGATTCCAAGCACTTGTTTCCTCACAGTTTCGTTTCCTATTTGTTCAAAGAGGAAAAGTTCAAAGCCACTCTGGCAGCCAGGGGAAAAGCTTGCTGAATGCTAACCCTCAAGTGTCTATCTTGTCCTGACCTTGAGAAAGTAGCAGTAAACTGTTCCATTGCAAACACTGCATGTGTGTTTTGTTAGACCAGGTTAGGAGGGGTCAGAGCTCACCTGAGGCTTGGACTGCAAATTTAGACTTCTTTTCAGCAGCATAATGCATTTTTAAAAGGGACATTCTCGCCTTTGTATGGGCCTAATATAGGCTCTGTTTAAAAACCTGTCAAAATCCCAAGCACACTCCATAAAATATAAATAAGTACTTACTGTTTGCAGATGTTGCTTGTTTTTCATAATGTTTGTATTTGAAGTCCTGAATCCTTGCTTCCTGTCAGAGCCAGCCCTGTTGCTTTAGTCCATTTATTTCTAAAGGAATAGGAGAAACTTCAAAATGCAATTTCTCAATGAAGACACTTTCTGTCAAGCCTGTCAACATTCTCAGCACAATTACCTTCTTTCAGAATAAGGCCTTCTTTTAGAGCTTTGACTATATGCACAAGCTCCCCTTCCTCCCGGCTTAGGGATTCTTAAAAAGAATCCTTGTTGTAGTAAATTGTGACTCTTAATGCTTCTAAATTTATTGCATCATTTAATAGCCAACTCTATTTGCATGTTGGAATATATTTGAAGATAGCCAAAAATATACTGCAGGAAGCAATCCTATATCTGAAAGGGACATAGATGAGACCCTTCCCTCCCTGGTAATTTATTAGGTATCTACATGTATAGGGTGGCTTTATCAGGATAGGTTTGAGAAGAGGAAGGAGGCTAGAGAAAAAGAAAATGGATAATTTAAAATCTGGAATCATAGGGCTGCCTTCCTGCCTCTAAAGGATCAGTAGTGAATTCTATATGGGTATGTCTACACTACCCCACTAGTAATGTAGTCATCCGCACTTGCAAATGATTTGAATTTCCCGGGCTTCATTTGCATGAAGCCGGCCGGCGCCATTTTTAAATGCCGGCTACTTCGAACCCCGTGCCACGCGGCTAGACGCGGCACGGACTAGCTAGTTTGGATTAGGCTTCCTAATCCGAACTAGCTGTACACCTCGTTCCACTAGGCGTACAGCTAGTTCGGATTAGAAGCCTAATTAGAACTAGCGGGGTAGTGTAGACATACCCTATGTTAGTGAGTATATAAACAGACATACAGGGAAGAGAACATTGCCGTATGGATGTTCATTTAGGGCTCAGTCCAATTTGTACGGAAGCTAAAGGGAGACTTCCCATTTGCTTTACCGGGCATTAGATCTGGCTGTTGTGGTCCAGTTCTGCAAAACTTTTACTGTTTTCGTTGGAGTCGAATCACATGTTCACTATAGTTTAGTTGTTGTTACTTAAGATCATATTTCATACTGTCCTGGTTGTGTTAAGAGAGAGAAATCTTTTAAATGTGAGATCTCATTACAGCCTTTGCTCTCAAGCCTTCATGGAAAAGTGCAATGCAATCACTGATTATTTGTATGTATTATGAAGAGTTGGCAGGCAGCAAAATTTAACAGCTCCACAAATGGGGCTGTTTCCAAGACAAAGGAAAATATGTTCAGACAGTTCACTTTAAAGATTGAAACAATGCACAGGGCAGTTGTTTTCTCTGTAACCTTGAGCATTATAGGGGGTGGGGGTGTGTGTGTGTGTGTGTGTGTGTGTGTGTGTGCGCGTGTGCGTGTGCACGCGCATCTTCCCCATTATCCTGGTAGATTTTATTGTCTCTGTTCTAGCCTTGTTTCAATCATTAGGGTAAGCATCCTTTCTCCACCTCCCCCACTAATAGTTTAACCTTTTCACTAACTGTGCAGTTCCTTCAGTGTGTAGTGTAGTGCCACCCCACTGCTGGCAACAGAAGAGGGAGAAAAAAACCCTTTCCTTTTTATTCCAAATTCAAAGGGTCATTATTCTATAGTTCCCTATGGACAAATGTGTGAAGATTATTGTGGGAAGTTGGTATTTATTCTGAAGTCCTAATACGTTCCTCTTGAACATTTTAATAATGTGCTCTCTAGGGTCTGTGCTGCAAGGGTTTAAAAGGAAGCAATATGCTTTAGCCCTAGGTGGCTGGTTCTTTGCTGAAGTGGTCTAAATTATGGTTTTGTTTTTGATTAGTCTCTATTTTAAAAAAAAACAAAATCTTACGCCAACAATTATTCCTCATTCTATGAGATTTCATTTATCAGTTACGTTGATTTAGAAGCAAGGACAGGGCCACAATGTTATGTGTCTGCATTTTGATCCTCTTTCTTTATGAGTTTCTTAATTCTAAATGACTTATCTTATCAATTTCTTCAGGAAATCTTATATTGCTGATATTAAGCAGCAAAGGAAGATACTTTTAATCAGAGGGGGTGATTTTGTTTGGAGATAAATTTGTGATAAGCAATATTTGCTTACCATTTGCTTCATTCTACATAATTATTAAAGCCTTTCCTAAACATACATTGTTTCTGTAGGATCTGATTATAAACATCTGACTGGGACAATGTGCATACATGCTTGAATCAGGTCAGTGGAGTTTTGCTTCATCTCTAAAGCTCAAAAACCATAAATCAAGATGAAAATACTCCAGCCAAGAGCTTTACCAATTGATACAATTTTAAAATAGGCCGCTGCTAAGGCTTGAGGGAAAGCTGACATGATGACTTTTATAATAGCAGAACGTTTAAGGTTATAGAAATAAAAGGAAGAGGATGAAATCAGTTGCGTTGATCTTAGCCTGCAGGCTCTCTCAGCTAACTCGAAGCTCCAGCAATTATTTCTGCTCTGGCTTTTCCCCCCTTTTTTCCAGCAGTCTGTTTGAAATGAAGCAGAACCAGGCATAGCAAGCTTATCAGTGTCGTTAGCTGACAGGGAGCACATCACACCTGCTTTTACTTGCTAGTTTTTCAGGCACTTTATGCCACAGAAGAATGTTGATTTTGTTCTTATAATGTGTAAAGATTCATTTATTTCACCTTTTGAACTTGGCAGAGCCACTCAGATTTGATGGGAATTTATTTTTTTTCCTGGCATTTGGAAAGCCCTGGCAATTACTGGACTATGGCCCAAGGCTGCCTTGATGACACATAGGGATGATCAAACTGGAGAGCCTCCTGCAGGCTAGGCTAGGTCTACTAAAGCCCTGTAGAGACTAATGAGGGTTTTGGGAGGGAGCAGAGTCTCAGCTATACAAATATCACTTGGGTCACTCATATAGATGTTTGCAGTGAATGATGCGACCAACATCATCACTAGAACTCAGACAACTCTCCAGTTTCTGCTCTGCTGAATCTGCTGGAGGGGCAAAGGACATCAGTCAGGGCAGAATTTAACCAAATACGTGCCCTTCAAACTTAGCTTGCACAACACATCATCATGACTCATATATTTTATTTTTATAATTACTATTTTGAGAACAATCCAATGAGTGTTATTTGTTAACTAGTTGAAATGTTTTTAACAGCTCCTGCCCGTAATTCTTTGTACACACAAGACGAAGAGTATGGGTTCATGGTCTATAAGAGGACTAACGCATCTTTTGCGAGACCTGTCCTTGACTATAGAAAGAGATAAATCACTCATTCTCCAGACTCCACATAAAATTCCAGCAGCCCCCATTAAGACTTCCATATTCCTCAAAGATCAAAAGAATCCATTCAAGTTCAGGCCCCACTCATAGATGTTTTGCCACCTTTGTTTTAACCTCAGAGAACCCTGAGCATCATTACTAATTGTGGCAGTGGAAGACTTGCATAAAGAGAGGGCTATCTAGTTACCAGGGTCTTAACTGTGTAGCTGTTACTCTACAGAGCTACTTTTATTACAAGACTTGCTCCTGTACCACTGAAACCAATGGAAGTTTTGCTACTGATTTTAGTGAGACTGGCTCAGGCTTTTCGTAAAGCAGCCATGCACCTGAAATATTATAGTTTGATTATTAAAGTACTTGTGATTATTTTGTAGCTACAAAAATTCTCTATATTCTTGTACCGGGAGAAAAACATTGGACATCTGATCCTGGATTGAGGAGAGAATCTGCCCTGCTCAAAAGCAGATATTAACTAATCCTGTCCTAAACAATGAACAACTTTTGAGCATATTCATTTGACTCATTTTAATTTGTTTTACAAAACAGGATATTTTCTTTACTCTTTTTTTTTTTTTAACAAAAAAATGGCTTTTGATTTGAATAATGCTTAATAGCAAACCAAGCACTTTATCAGAACTGAACAGATAGGCCTTTTGTATTGAAATATGTTTGGTATCAGTATGATGTGATGCTTAGGTGATATCCAAGTGCCTAAAGCTACTCAGATTTATATTGGAACTTGCAAATCAAAAAGAAACTAAATCATAGCTGAAAAGGGCTTTACAAGCAAAATCTGCTTATAGATTGAATTAAACAGTTTACATACACACTCTGGGTCATGATCTATACATCTTATTAGCACTAAAAGCCCACAGAAGAAATGGAGAATACACCTTTGAAACAGAAAATTAGTTAGAGAACTAATTATAAAAGTGACATTCAATGTTCCTTGTTTGAGGAGAGACTCACTACTATATTACTGATCATATGATTCGTTGTAATGGAGTGTTCCATTTGATGACTCAGACATAGCATTCTCTACACAATTTGCATACATTTAAATGGATCACTATAACCTAAGAAGATCTCTGTGTATCTCAAACACTTGTCTCTCTAACCAGCAGAAGCTGGTCCAATAAAATATATTACCTCACCCATGATGTTTCTCTAATAATGTTAATAGACATACAGTGTGACTAAATTATATGACAAGTCCTGCATATCTCATAGTGCTAGTAAGATTAGTTAAGGGTTAGTCTGAAGCAAAGGGCAGCATGTTGTTGAGTTGCCCAAGGAGCAGCCCAAGAGGGAGTCACTAGTTCCTTTCTGGTCTCCTAGTGAGGAAATACTATGTGATAGGTCTATACCTGACATAAAAACAATGGGTAGCCCTGTGGCATCTTAGGGTGCATCTACACTGCACCATTATTTCAAGATAACTAGCGTTATTTCGAAATAATGCGAAATAATGGACGGCTTATTCCAAAATCTGTAAACCTCATTCTATGAGGAATAATGCCTATTCTGAAATAGCTATTTTGAAATAAGGTCTGTGTAGATGCTCCACTGCCGCTATTTCGAAATAGCCCCTTACCAGGGCCATTCTAAGTTATTCCTCCCCAGCGCCTCCTGGCGCTCTAAATCGAGATAGCATGTCTTCATTAGGGAAGCCTGCCTCGGACCAATTTTTGAGGCTTCCCTGCACTGTAGACATGCTATTACAAAATAAGCTCTTTTGGAATAAATATTCCAGAATAGCTTATTTGGAAATAAGCGTGCAGTTTAGATGTACCCCTAGGAG